GACAATACTATATGCGTTCAATAAGCCAAGTAAAAATCGTTTCAGCATTTTTAGCTCAATTTGCGAACTTATACTCAATTGAGGAAGTAATAGAATGGTTTTGTACTGCGTCAAAAATCTCAATTGTCAATACACTGAATACACGTGTATACTTAACAAATACTAAACCGGAAAATTTCGTAATAGATAGGTTTCCAGTATAATTTTCATAGGTAAAATTTATTGTATTATCAATTGCAGAATAATACAATCTGTAATTACCATTTATATCCTGAACTAATAATTTTTGCCTATCTATCATCCCATATCGTGATTCATTATTTTTCATATCATTTGGGCTACCCAGAATGTTATATTTTTCTTGCGACAAAAGTTTAGCAGTAGGAGATGGCTGTATCACGCCAGTTTTACCTGTGTAAATGAAATAGTATGCATTATGTGGACTATCATTTACACTTGCTTCAATCAAACCAATCAATTTGAGTGGTCTTATTTTTCTGTTTAAAAATCGTGTTTTACACTGTTCAAACCCTGCCAATTCAAGCTCATCTGAATAACTTTTACGAATCATGCAGTTGGAAATTTCACTGTACTCCAATGTCGTGAATAGATAAATATTTCTCTCAGAATCGAAACACGGCCATGAGTAGAAATCTGTAGGATCTAAATTGTGAGGCATGAAAGCGTAAATGGGGGGACTTTCTATGAATACTGGCTTGTCTTTGTAAGGTCCAAGATAATATTTATCATCGGAATAGATACATGGATCATCACCCAATAAATACATTGCTGGTTTATCCCAAGAAAATTCATTTTGTTAAATTTTTCAGCAATCAATGAGCCACGGTCTGGTAGAAAGTTTGCACAAATAAATCGACGATTTCTAAAATCGTATGAGTAAGCTTTAGACATCGCAGGATGTTTAATCATCAATGGTTTCACTTTTATCTCTTCATTTAAATGCTCTTGATTTCTTGCAATGTATGAACTTGCTTCACAATGGCCTGTTTTCAGATTCAAAACTTCTTTTGGTATCGAATTCAATTTAATCACGATCGACTCTGACCATGTAAATTCTGACACTAATTCACCAGTTGGTTCTATTGGACAGATTTTCACTTTACTAACTCCCGTAACTTCATCACAGTGAATTCTTCCATAATTGTAAGAAAGATGTTCATTTTGGAAACTCAATATTTTCGGAATACAGACTGTCTGTGATTCTCTGCATTTGACGGAAGAACCATTGCTGATTTCATCTATACCTAAAGTACAGGTTTTCTTGACACCAAAATCATTATTACAAACAACATAAGTGAACTCATCTAAAATAATGGGTGTATTGTTAGGTATTCCGAAACAAATGTTTTTCTGAATACAACTTTTTTTAACATCAGAAAATAACATTAGGTCAGGTTCACATTTTTTCTCCATGCTTTTACCATTAACACATTCATAATACCATTGTGATTCTTTTGAGTTTTTAGCATATCTATAGCCGTCTTCATGTGTTTCACATGGATCAACTTCAATGCAAGGTAGTCCATTTCGAGTGAAATCTATCTTCTCATTTTCTTTACAAACCACCAATTTAGGTTTACCTTCAGGCAAACAGGAAAGTTTAACTCTCGGATGATACTCTTTACCATAAGAATCAGAAACTTCACCATGTTGTGAATTGAAGTGTGCAAATTGCTCGTAACTCAAAGGTTTCACAGTCCCATTGGGTGTATTATAATCATTTATTGTACATAAGTCAGGTACATCACAATTCGGTCCAATATGATATGGTGGACAATTTAATGCAACCTCATGCGAAGACATTTTATCAATGGCTACTGCATCTCCATAAAGTGTAACCGGAAAAGATTCCTCTTTGATTTCATAATAACCATTTTTAGCGTCAATTATATACAAGTTAGTATACAATCCACTGCCAAGAGTATTCTGCAGGTTTAAATCCCAGAGTTACTGCTTTATAGTTTAAATCTTCAAGTAACATACTTTGGACAAGTTTTCTAAAGTTACCAGAATATTTGTTCAGTTTAATTTTATTGAACATGTATACAGATACAATGATTGCCCATAAAAGTGTTACAACAATCAAATAAAATGTGAAATACATGGCTGCTTATAACTGAATGAATTTCTGACTTTTTCAAAGTAGATCATTTCTCTATTTGTAATGGTTTATGTACAATTTCACTTATGAAACATTCAAGCAATCTTTTCTCGTGTTTCACAAAAAAAAACTTTTTCCTTCCCCGTAGGTACGAAAATTGTTAAAGAACATTATATTTGAACGCAAGTGAGACGAGCGGAAAATGAGCAAACGCAAGCATTGCAAATTTCAGTTTTCAAGCAAATTAATGAAAAATTATAGAAAGCTACAAGAGAATTTAGATAAAACTCACCATTTTTCGCTACATTTGTACATTCAATAAACTATATTTTCTTTACCCAATTTAAGGTCATCGACCATTTTCTTATATATCTTCGATACACACATACCATTAGCTCTAACATTGTAGGAATTATTCGTTGTCATAAGAATTTGGGTTTTCTGATCACATATACATAAATTTAAGCTTGGTAACTGCTGTTTATAATCTAAACCTCCAGTAAGATTACCATTTATACAGAGTCTATTGGGCTGAAGGGATGATTTACCTGTTATTCCAGGATCGATACTTGAACAATAGTATTCAATTTGTTTGAAAAACTATTGTAGGAATACATTGTAAGAAATCCAGCTGATAGATTACATTCATCACTTTGTATCTGATGAGTTTGGGTCTGTACACAGACACCATTCCTCAATTCATAAGTTAAAGTATAACTAGCATTCGAGTCATTACTACATATTTCATTGCAATGAGAATCCGAGTATCCAATAACAAAATTTTTTGCGCAATTTTGTCGTTCAATTGCACCCAACTTTTTGCTTATTATTGCTTCAATTGGATCAACATTTATTTGTTCCGTAAGTTTACCATGTGCGTGTTTACCAGTCTTCTTTAGTAAACTGTTGCACATTACAACAATATAAATACTAATCAATAAAATCATAATAACAACAATATGGATTATCATATCAATGTAAAACCCTGTTGGTTGACTTACAAGTATACACTTGACTCTATCAGTGGATCAAGTAGTAGTAACAGACAAACTTCTAGGTCTCTTGATAAGGTACAATTTTTTGACTTTCAGTTATTTGATCATCTTTGTGAAGTTCATCCTATTTACAAAATCTCTTGTCAGCATAGGCATCATCATCTGAAAAAAAAACTTTGTCAGTTATCCAATGATCCAACGTGTAAAAAATGTTTGACACAACATTCACTTTTTCTAGATGCTGCTTCATTGCTTTACCATGATTATGGTAAAAATACTAAACTTTTTACAACTCAGCAATATCATCAACACAACTCAAGTTGTTGTAGAAACTGTGTAGGATGTAAAACGGGAAATGAGTGCTCAGTCAACGGTAAAGCTTTTTTCTGCAATTTAACGGATCAAGTATTTGACAAAAACACAAATCAGTTCAATTCCTTACTTTTCCATGACTTTACACTTTTGCGTGAACACATACGACCCATAAGAGTCAATTCTCTGTTCTACATTTGTATTGACCATCAACATATCCATTCGAACAATAGCAATTTCGATGCACCTTGTTTCATTCAAACATCAATCTGTTGTGAAAGAGCACAATTAATCACAGAGTTTAACTCTTCTTTCTATGTGACCTACACCTGCCTTGCAAAACCAAAAGAATATCTCATCTATGATCCATCAATATGGAAAAATCAATCTGTCAATAAATTTATCTGTTTCATCCGTTCTCTACTGGATCCAGAAAACTCGTTAGAAACCATTGAAACACGATACAAAGCTTTCACTAATTCCAATTTTAAAACACCACAACTATCTATCTACAAGAGTGGTAAATTTTCACTTGCTAGAACTGCAGTAACAGGCTTTGAAACTTTCGGCCTATATCAAACATCAATAATGTCTGAATTAATCCGAGATGATGTTATCCTCATTCCAGGAGTATTATTTGACATGGTAGAATCACGTTTCGATACATCACTTGTCGTTGTGAAAAGAGATCCAGTTTTTTATAATACATCTTTAGCCGTTTTTAAAGCATACCGAAACCCAGATCCTAACATTAAGACATTTGTTTTTCCGTATGGATGGGGAATACCTTTTTCCAGGACAATGATGGTGATAAGAATACAATTTATTTTCTTCATAAGAACAAAAGGGCTATGATTTCACACAATCCTACGATTACAAGGTTTCCAAGTATGAATTAGCTAGAGCGCATAAAAACAAGTTATCAATACTGGCAAGTTCAAGATATTCTCTTTCAGAAAATGTACGATACGAAGTTTATACTAATGGTGCAAACTTTCTTAAGGATAACTCGTTCTGGAGACAAACATCAAAATATGGACCTCAGTTTATGGCGGATGCAGGTGCTTCATATCTATGTGATGAATTTGAGTCATTCAAAGAAGCATGTAGAAAACAGCTAAGTAAACCAGAACTACGCCTGTTAACCATACCAGATTTGCTAACCTGTGATAAGTTGAATGATTTTGTTAACTCTAAAAGTAAGGGTAACCCCGAGTCAATTAAACTATTCAAAGATTCAATGGCTAGCTCAAATTTGTTCAGCAATCCGGAACGTATGCAGAATTGTATAAACCAATACAATAACTATTCACAAGGAAATAAAAACTTGCGACACCATGGAAAAGAACAATTTATTGCGTTCTACTCCATGCAAGATGTAGTCACGATCGCAAACCTAGTGTATCTTAATAAAAAAGTACTTGCAGACCTAGATCCATATACAGGTTTGTATACTTATGTTTTCACAGAGGCCGCGTTAATTTGCTTCAAAAATGATTTAGAGTCTTTATATTTTGATTCTAATGCTATTTAATATTAAAAATTTTAATTGCAATGTTTTACATGATCAGTTATTTATTTTCTTGATTTCCAAGTCCTTTTGTTCCACGTTCTTGCACATGATTGCTGGTTGAAGAACCCTCACCTGCATCAATATTTATGATATCAGCATCGTGAGCGGTAATCAACATATCAGGCTTTACCTCTACCAACTTTGGGTGGTAAACTTTCTCAATCAACAACTGAGCGATACGATCACCTTCCATGACTTTGTATTCATCGGTAATTGAGTGATTATACAATACAACATGAATATGGCCACGAAAATCAGAATCAATGATACCAGCACCAACTTCAATTGAATGTTTGCACGATAAAGATGATCGCGAAGCTATCCGTCCACTAAAGCCTGGTGGCAGAGCAATAGCAATACCTGTAGGTATGATGGCTTTACTTTGAGGTCTAATTATAACAGGCTCAACTTCACAGCTTGCTAAATCAAATCCGGAAGACTCGCTTGTCATGCGAACCGGTTCTTTAGCATTTTTACGTAGTTTAGAGAAGTGTAATTGGGTAAACATAATAATTTTCTTGACTATAACTGAACCTATCAACTAGCTATCAGAAAGCAAACAAAAGTGAAACATTAACCTATCTTACGGTCATTTATATACATCCTGAACAAGAGAAAATCTGCTTGTTTTTATTGAAAATTTTAACTGCATGATGGAAAACAGTTAACTCGCGTTCTGTTGAATGTGTATTTCTATCTTCACGAAATCTTACTATTTCCATTGCCCCGTTTATCTCGTAAATTGAGCCACTTTTCAAATTCACTTTCAATGGATTTGTTATGAATGGTAATATTTGTGCATTGCCACTTATGAAAACACCGTTTGTTTGTAACTTCACATCTATTGTTGGTATTTTGAATTTTATCAATTGATGGTTTTGGACAATAACTAAACCGTCATATCTACCTGTATCGTAGGTAAGATGCATTGGAGGAGGATAAAATTCTTGAACCAGTATACGTCTTGACTGTAAGTAATAAAGTTCTGGGCCACGATTCATTCTGAATTGATTCTCTAGATGTCTCAGAATTGATAAATTTGTGTTTCTTTCTACACAATAAGGTTTTTCATCAACCATTGTACCTAAACACTCAACGATTACAAGCAAATCAGGTAGCACTTCAACTTGGAAACAGAACTGGCGCAAAAAATTCAACTGTTGAGTTGTAAAGTTTTGAAATTGAGTTTGAGATAATATTTCAATTTCTGCAGCATCACAACATAAGGCACAAATGTAATTGCCATCAGGCTCTTGACAGAATTGTAACTTTGCTTTAACACCATCCCATTTGTATGCCCAGAAATAGTTATTTTGACAATTATCATTGACAGCTTCAAATTGTGTGAAAAATTGCAATTTTGGAGGGACCATGAAAAACAAATCTTTTATACTTAAACTGTCAAACTTTGAACAAACACTTAACATTGGTAAAAAAGATGTTATACAATTCATCAGTATTTGTTCATATTTTTGCAGTATGTTCAGGTCCAATGAAGCAGTATATTCTATTTCAGCAGAAACATTGTATCGAACACCAAGACAAGATTCAACTTTATTAAGAGAAAGACGAATATCTGGAATATCCGAATAGTAGAAAACTGCATAACGTAGAACAACAGCTTCAATGTTGTTATTTAGCACTTTTTCAATACCTATTAGGCGCTCATGAGCTACTTTTCTAACAATTGGATAAAAACAAGAGCTTTTTTCACAAAAACCAAGAACATTTCGCTTATCTTTGATAACTTTTTGTTGATATTTGCGTGAATGTAAACGACAATTGTCATTTTGATAATAAAAAATAACATCAACAAAGGCATTGGATAACTTTGATAAACAAGCATTGTAAACACTCTCATTCAATTCTAAAACAATCGAGCTTTCATGTTCAATTGTAACCTCAACGGATGAAATTGCGGAGCACATTTAATTATTTAGTTAATATTCAATGATTTAATTAAACACTTTTTATTGTTACAAGAATTTTTTATCCAAGTGTACTTGCACCAGCTCTAGTAGTGTTTGCTCGCCCATCTGTAGGTGTTCCATTTATTATACAGTTTTTCACTGTTTTCGCTAACACTGTATAATCCCAAATTTTACCCACCAAAGCTGCAGCTAACAGTAAACAAGCAGAAATCACAAGATTACTTATTGTTTTATCATGATCATTTCTTTGTTTCTCCATTTCAGTGTTTAACGAGGTTACGCTTGGCGTTGCTGTTGTTGTCCCTGGCTGAGATCCTAACACACCATTGACATTGTTGGGTGCGAGTACAGTTGTTTTATGTTCTTTTTTCCAGTTCACAACGAATGCAATAACTATGGTTATCATACATAGAACTAGAAGTACAAGGGTAACCAGGGATACTTTCTTTGTTGTTTTAGCAGCAGAGTCACATTCTGGTGTTAAAATGTTTGCAAGCCTTGGTCCAAAAGCAGATGACATTTTCAAATAGTTTTGATGTTGTCTTTTATTACTATTATATTCGTAAATGTACACAAGCTTGTGTTCTAATAGTTTTTCAATAATTTGTCTATAATTATCACCTATCTTATTTAGATAGATAGAATTTTCCTGTGTTACAGATATCGAAATTATTGAATTTCTCGAGAAACTATTTTCTTGAAAACTGTCGTTGTTTGGTTTGGTATTGTCAACAAAGTACTGTTCAGGTAGTTGCACACAAGTTTTCAAAAAAAGAAGTGAATAAAATAAATTCTCAGGTAGCACTGTCTTCGAATCGTTTGGCCTGTCGACCACAAAAACACAGAAATGTCTTATTTTGGTAACGGTGTTGAGGCGATTGTCAACACAAACAGATTTCACATTTGGTCTTGCCATGTTCATCCTTCATCTCGTTGTAAAATATATTTTGACTTAGAAAACAACAAATGTTACCATGTGATACCACTCGGTGTTGAGAAAAAACTTTCAATGGCAGCGCTCAAATATCGAGCAAAAGAGAGCTCAAATGAGTATTGGGAAACATTTAACGTTGACTCAACCACCTGTTTATACTATTCCAGTTTGAAGAAAGATAAAGATTTTATGTTCAATATTGTTTTCCCGTTTTTAAGTGTACTCGATGATATAAGTCTAACCTATAACCGTATAGATGAAAAAAGTAAAACAAACACAAACCTAGAGCTTGTTAAATATCATTGTGTTGTCCATCGGAACGGTAAATCTATTAGTTTGTGTAATCGGCATCTTTTACGCGAGAACAAGGTTAACAAGAAAAGAGATAATGTTTATGGTTGTGTCAAGTTGCAGAGAAATATTTTGAAATCATTGTTTGGTATAAAATCGAAACCTTACGGTAGTAATACATCTGATATACCTAACTGGGTTATTGAATATGTCAACAGTACCAGCAGTAGCAGCATCGTCGGTAACCGTGGCATCAGTTCCGTTAGTAGAAAACATAGAGCCTAACAACGTTATCCATAGTGCATTGAAACTTTGTTCAATTTTTGTCACACGCTATCCATATGTAAGTTTCTGTACAATCAATTTATTTTTTTTATCGTAAAATTAATCATATTTCAACTTTTTCTCCAACCCAACCCTTCAAGATCTGGGACCATATTTGTAACAATGAAACAAGTGTTCTTCGGCATGGATTTCTTCCAGTTAACAATGCTAACTTTGCCAGTATAACAATGAGCATTCCAAAAGAATGTTTTAATCTCTTACGAGGACCCGCTATCATGTACAACAAAACCATTATACTAGTTGTTAGCAGGCAAACAGTGCTACCTAATGATTTACATCCTGTTATTGTAGTTCATTTGTGATGATGCAAAGAAATAAACAGACATAAGTAAAATAGCAAAAAAATGACTGAATTATTACGACTGATTTACCTCGTTGAAAATGGATGTCAATCAAATCAAAATAAAGACAACATTTTTAACAATATAAATATTTCGCTTCCCAGTGATTTCGGCTTCATTGGAAATAGCATAGAAAAATCAAACAGCCAAAAGTCACCAGTTACACTCACAGCATTACCTAAATGGAAATCTATCACAAATCAACCAATCAACATTGGAATAAAACCAATACTTTTGAATGCAGAATCATGCCTTTATGGCAATACAAGTTGTGGTCGGCTTCGTGAAGCAAAAACCAAAACTATTGACATACTAGCAAAGCATTACAAGATAAAACCAATACCCTTGTACGAAAGAAATACCGTTTCATCCGATGAAGATGATAAGCATGATGATTGTGAAAGTAGACCGAGAAGTAATATGTGTAAACAAATCAACAGTAATTGTGGTAAAAGAGTGAAAATACCGTTGACTGTGACTGATCCTGACGGGTTTTTTCAGTCCAACACAAGTCATGTTGTACTAGACGAGAAAGGCCGCAAAACAGAAAAAAAGCCAGATACAGCTAATCAAAGTATATTGTCGTTGGATTCTTCGTTGATAGTTCCACAAGAACAAGAAGATTTACCACTACCACCACCACCACCAGAAGCTTACGAGTATAATTATTTGCATGCATCAAATCCACCTGACTCTTTACAAGAAAATCCAATCCCGGTTTTGTCAAATCCATCCAATATTGGCAATTTACAACAATCGCAAACGCTCAATTCAAACAGTCAATCAACAGATAAAGTACTCACCCCAAACTCTGATATAATAGAACCACAATTGTCCAATGGGTCGATTCATCAACCCCTTGTTTTGCCACCACCACCACCACCACCACCACCAATGTCAGCATTTAATGTAACATCAACCGCTAATCCTATACCAATACCACCGCCGTTACCACCTTCGAACTCAACAGTTCCACAAGCGTCTCTACACATATCTGAATCTTATAATGATAATAATGATAATGCTCTGCCAGTTGTTTTGAAGCTTGTTAGATGTAAAAAGAATGAAGTCATGAATTCCCCACAAAACTCAACCTTAATTCAAACATCCGATTTGAAAGCTGCAAAAGCAGCTTTGAAGCATAAGACTCATTCAGAACAAAAAACTTATCCTAATAGTAATGATTCATTTAAAGAAAAATTCAATGAGATTTTAAGTAAAAGGAGGAAAGTTCTTGACACAAATTCTGATACCTCGTCAAACACATCCACTGATATTGAGAATGATGATGATGACTATTGGCAAGTGTAAACAACATGGTGCCTATCATTCGATAGAATTAATCCAACTTCTATATAATAGAGTAATTGTTTCAGTCAATACACATTGCGCGTAAAATGGAATCGCAAAGTAGTGGATTACAAAAATTCTACAATACTGTTACTGCTGGACTATTTGGTATGTGTTTATTCGGTTTTTTAGCAAGACAAAATATCTATACAACATTTCTCATTATAATAGTGCTTCTTCTCATAGCAATTTTATATTCTATCGTCTCTTGTATTCGTAAGATTACAGAAACTGAATCCAATAACTGTTCAGACCGAGATCAGGTTGAGAATAAAAAATTTGACTCAAGTAAACTTGACCAGATACGTAAAAAGCT